CGGCCCTTCGTACGACAGACCTATCTCTTGATACCCGGCTGCAAAATGTAGAGCGTTCGTTCTCGATGCTCTCAGGTCTTCGCCTTAAGAGTGAGCTGCTCATGACGACGCTACCGGTCTCCAACAACGCAGATTTGATCGCTTTCACAGCAGATCCAGTTGTGGCACCAAGCATTATGTCACCCGTCCAAATGGCTAGGGACCACAAAAAATGAAGCTGCTTCGGACGTCCTATCTAAGGGTACCCTGATCGACGCCGAACTGCTGGTTCTAGCTCTGCTAAAGATGCCACAGTTGTCTAGACACCGGAAACAAGCCAAGTGTCGTTACTTGTCAGACCGTCTGAAGGTTGTACGAGGGCGAAGATTCCACACGCACTACTTATTAGCCCAAGGTGCCGGATATCTCGGTTTGTCACCGCGAAGGCATGATCTGAATGTTTGCTGGATTCTGCTCAAAGCGAAGAAGCGTCACGCGATCGTGCTCCCGTTAGCAAGAAGAAAGAGCAGAACAACTCTGCCATAAAGCCTTTCGGTGGAATCGAGAACCTGAAAAAACTAAGACATCGACAATGGAGCGAAAAGCACCCTGCGGTTGCTACTTCATTGGATGGGCTAAAGCGATTCCCATCACCAGTGGTGAAGCCACCTGCTCCAAGTGTCAAACCAAAGACCCGTGGGGTTAATACATCCCATCGTGGCGATTCTTTCACGGAAAGTAGTGTTATATTCCGTAACGCGGTTAAAGCTATTACTGTCCTTCCTGTTGATCGCAGATAGACAACCTTCAATGGTTTTAAATGTGCGGAACGGAGCAGCTTCCGCCTGCTTTTCCTGGCGTTACGGTCAGAAAACTGAGTAGACAGGGGTACGTCGCCGTTAGTGTACCAAACCCTTTGATCGCAGGTACTTCGTGTGATACTCTCTACCCCGGAGGAATGCAGCGCTGTCATGCGGTTTGAGTGTAAGCTAAAAGGTACCAATATTAGCGTTCAGTCAGACTTTCGGCTTGCCGATAAGCTGAGGCCATCAGGAATCTCAAAAGCAGGCGAGCACCAGTGAACAAGGTCTCCGGTTAGTGGGTTTTCGGGTGGTTAGGCGGCGGTCCATTCCCGCCCTACCACTGCCAATTCTGGTAACGCACGGCTCAGGTCTGGATCTAACGAATACCTTCAGATAGCGTTAAGTGCTGTGCGCAGTCTAAGGAATAAGGTGTACTAGTTGAGTCTGCTTGTAGATGGGTCTCATCCCGATATACTCGCATGCACTAAAACGTGGATGTGTCAGGACATAACGAATGGTGAAGTACATCTATCTGGCTACGCACTATATAGCTGCGATCGCTCCGCTGGCCGACAGCGAGGGGGCATTGCTGTTTATGTGAGCTGTAGGCTTGAAATTTTGAATACTCGCTTATTTCAGTCAATGACAAAACCTTTGAAGCTCTGTCGGCTGGGAGTAGCACATCCTCGGCTCAGGCTACACTTATGCTTGCGTATAAAAGCTTTGGGAGCGTATCCAAAGAGGTACTTAACTTCAGTTGCTCCCTGTCCAAGAGCAAGTGTTTGTTGATGGGCGGCTTCAACTTCCCAGAGGTTTGTTGGTCAGTTGTTTCTTGCCACTCATCGTCAGGCATATTCGGCGCAGAGGTGTTTGACCTGACGCACCATGTACCTCCGTATAAGCTCATAGACCTACCCACTAGGTACCTGGACGCCAAAGTACCGTCTATCTTAGACCTTGTATTTGTTAAGTCAATCGATTTCGTTGGTGACATTACTTACGCACCTCTGCTGGGTTCCAGTGATCATGTTGGTTTGCTCTTCAGTTGTACTCTGTCTAAACGCTACCAGAGTACTGTTGAGTCTCGCCCGAACATATGGCACGCAGACTATCAATCAATGAGAGCCAATGCTTCGGGTTTCCATTGTAAGATCTCAGACGTCGATACTGCCCAGGTTAGAGGACGAAGCTACAAAAAAAGAAAAAGCTTCTTCGTTTATGTCAAAAGGTCATGCGGTTCGAACATATCAATTCCAGTATTGATGCGTGATGACGGCACTCATGGGAATACGGACTATGACAAAGCCTGCCTACTTAGTGGGCAATATGCGACGGGGTTCGTAAAGGAAACCGCCTTGACAGACGTTGAGCTGGTTTGCAGGATCCCAGAGGGTCCAGGAATTATCCGAATTTATTGTAGCAGAGAAGGTTTCCTAAGCTGATACAAGGGATGAACCCCTCTAAGGCCTCCGAACCGGATTAAATTCACCCGAAACTGTTGCATAAGTTGGCCTGGTAACTAAGTGAAACACTCCCTATGGTGTTCACGAAATCCCTTAACGGCTGTGCATTACCTTCCGAATTGAAGAAAGCTGCAATCCGCCCCATCTTCAAAAATGGGGACAGGGGCAATCTGCTCGGTGGCGGGCGCAGGGCTAGGTCCTTGGACCGCTGCTGCTCTCGATGAATGACCAACCCGCGGAGCTTGAGATACCAACGCTGCTATTTGCAGATGACCTGAAGCTGTGGAACAATGTCCTGGTTCATGGCGGTTCGATAGGTAATCATGGAGCAGTGAATAAACTTTGGGACTGGACGGCTTTACGGTTACTGCCCATAAATCAGGCAAAGTGCTTCGTTTTTCCAATTGGAGGAGGTTGTCCTCCTACGAATTATTTGGCCGGTTGGGTCGAACTCCCCGGTGTACCCAACCACGTTGACCTAGACCTCGTACACTCTTCGGTTTTACACTCCGGCGACAAGCGAAAGAAGGCCGGAAGCAGCGGTTTCCGCATGTTGTGGTTGATATGACGTTCTTTCTGTGTCTTGACGGGAGGCATGTTTACTAGTCTGTTTTCGGCTTCTAGAATACTGCGTCCAGGCCTGTCAGCCTTGACTCGTCGGGCACAATTGGAGCTACAGAGGGTTTTACGAGTCGGTACTAGGTTAGTCGAGGGAGTAAGGGGATTGACGTACCCCGAGCGTTTACTTAGCTTGGGAAGGCGTTCAATGCACTACAGAAGCCTTAGAGGAGACGTACTCCTAAACTTCAGTTTATTAACTGAGAAGGTTGGTCCAGGTTTATCTGAGCTGTTCAGTCCCCCTTGAGAGCCAGCTCTAAGCAGTCATTCCTTGGACATGGACAATCCACGGTCCCATCGGATTAGGTCGGAAATCCGGCTATCACGCAGAGTCGTGGAGCGCTAGAACATGTTACCGGAAATGTTACCAAGGAATCTACGGGTAAGGGGTCTGAGCAGCAACTGGTCTCTCTTGGTTGGCAACATCAAACCTTTCCATTTTTCTGAGTAACTCGCATCATACTTCGCTTTGCTTTTCTACTTTTTCACGCAGTGGTATTATTTTCTTATTTCAAGTGCACTTCCTTATTCTGTGCCTTCGACTTCTCTTTCTATCCTTTGCTTACTTCATGTGATTGCCACAGCAGGGACTGCTAGGGCAGGAAACATGGGCATTAACTGGTTGGCCATGGTGAGCTACGGGAGTTCCGTTTCAGGTCCATCAACCACTGCGCACATCATCATTTGCAGGCTCAACGATCTACTTAAGAAGGAACCCTCATGGGATTCTATAAATAAATAAATAAATATTTTATTCTCGACTATGCGAGGCACGCTCATGGAGGCATGATCAGATATGTACAACGGTACAAACATTTTAATGCAATTGTAACAGTAACGCAGAAAATTGTTCATATATCCATGATTGGAACTGTACAATGTTGAAAATGCGAAACAATAAGTTGGCTCTCATGAGATACGGGACCTCAGCTAATAAGAGATTGAGAAACCTGAATGATCCACTGAAAGGTAATGGAAGAGCCCGCGCACAAGGAAGGAAAAGGGCAACGTATCGTGGGATGTAAAACGACAACAGTATATACAGATGTAGAAGTCCCAGTGTAACGATCCTATGTAGAATTGTGACGCTAGTTGACCTGCCAGTGTAAAGTTATGGGCTGTGACTTTATTCGGTGGCGAGTCACATACGCGACGTTGCAGTGTTGTTAAACGGACCTTTGTGGCTTTTTGTAGGGAGAACGCTTGCCAGGCGAAAACCCACCACGTCCTGGAACACTGCCACCAATCCATTGAATGGCAAATTGTAACTGGCTGTTTCTTGTTAAAAGTCTGTTTGCTCGGTTATTCGCAGTCAGGTTGCGTCCCATTTTTTCCGCTGGTTGATGCAATAACTGGTTGCCTATTGCGTTCCTGGGTCCTGTCCATTGTTAGGTCGGGTACTAAACATTCTTATTGAATATGATGTGTTGATCCTTCGCAGAACCACATGAAGTTATCTCTGATTATGTATATTTGCCGGGGAGCGAAGAATTCGTGTCCAGCTACCCTCACTGGGCATCGGTGGTTGGGTGCAAATAGTTAGAGTGGAAGTGAGGCCATGGTCCAGGTAAGTACTTGTTGGTTATTTCGTCCCATCGCAGACGGAGGCAGTTCCTCAGTTCAATCCCGAAGCTCTCCGATGTTCACGACCTCAGAGAAAAGGGAGAGAGGAACAAGCCGAGAGTGAGTGTTTTCATTTTCTTCGACCAAATCCTCGCTTGGCCTCCGCTCTTCCTCTTCCAACCGCACCCACAACGCGCGAACAATGCACGTTACGGTAGTTGGTTTGCTGGCATGCGCAACACGTGACTTAACCATCGGAGCCTCGTGCGTGATCTAATGGTACTGAGCGATTCACCCGCTCCTCCTGCACCGAATACGCGACGCCGAACACGCTCATTGCTCACGCGGTGCTCCCATCAGCAATAGCTAAGCTGCGAAGGCAGCGAGGATCGAATGTCACGAGCCTCTTCAAGTCTGTCGACCTGATGAGCCAGGTTTCACAACCGTACAGGAGAGTTGAACGGATGGCCGCGTTATAAACTCTGCCCTTGAGGGCGAGGGTAATGTCGCGTCTGCGCCACAGATGGCGGAGATTGGCAAAAGCACGTCGAGCTTTTGCCATACCGTTCGAAACCTCACCTTCAATCCCACGGGTAATAATTAGCTGCCCAGGCACTAGAATTCCTGAACAACTTCTAGCTGATCACCACAAAACTTTAGCGCAGGGTTGAGTCCCTGCCAATCTTGTAGAAGTACTTTGCATTTCGATGGAGCAAAACATAGCCCAAAACGATTGACAGCCAGTGCTAATCGGTGCATTGCAGCTTGACATGTGTGGGAGCTGTCACATATTAGGACAATATCGTCCGCGTACTCTAAGTCAAGAAATCGCTCACCAGGAAGTAGCTCTACGCCTTCTAGGTGATGTCCAGTGAACGCTGTTTCCATGACTTCATCATTAGCGACGTTGAGGAGGATAGGTGACAGGTGACAACCTTGTCTCACACCGCTGGTGATACTGAAGAGTAGCGACACTTTGCCATAAACCCCCACTCTGCCCAACTATGCGAGTACAGCGCTTTGATAATGTCTACACATTTATCAGGCACACCTTTCCTCAGCAGACAGTCCCAAAGGGCATGTCGATCGACTGAGTCAAAGGCACTTTTTATGTCCAGAAACGCGACAGCGGTGGGTCGCCAATAAACATGGCGGCGCTCCAACAAATGACACAATGTGAAGATGTGGTCGATGCAGCCCCGACCTCGACGAAATCCGGCTTGCTCTTCACGAATCTAGCTTCCAAGAGTGTCAGCCAGTCTGTGGAGCATGACGGAGGCAAGCAATTTAGAGGCAATCGAAATCAGACCGTTCCCTCTATGATTGCCGCATTCCAAACGGGAGTTTCCTTTAAAAATTGGGACAATGACGCAGTTGTTGCGGTCTGTCGGGACAGTTTCTTGCTCCCAAACTTTTACTAGCAACTCGTGTATATCATCTACTAGAGTAGGTCTCCCGGATTAGAAGGAAGCTGGGGGAATTCTAGCTGCCCCTGCGGCCTTATGCACTTTCAACAGCCTGATCTGACATTCGACTTCTGCGCGTGAGGGCGGATCCAAAGAGACGGGCCAGGGAGAAGGGCGCTCAATACCCGAAAAAGCAACCGGTAATTCAGGTTGGAGAAACGCATATTTCACATTGGAGAAACCGATAATTCAGGTTGGAAAAACCGATAATCCGCAAACCAGTGGTTGTTGATGGGCGACTTCAACTTCCCAGAGGTTTGATGGGCAGATCCTTCTTGCGGCTCAACGTCAGGCGCATTCGGCGCTGGTGTGTTCGACCTGACGCACCATGTACCGTTGCGTCAGTTAACTGACCTCCCCACTATGTACATGGCCGCCAAAGTACCGTCTATCTTAGACCTTGTATTTGTTAAGTCAATCGATTTCGTTGGTGACATTACTTACGCACCTCTGCTGGGTTCCAGTGATCATGTTGGTTTGCTCTTCAGTTGTACTCTGTCTAAACGCTACCAGAGTACTGTTGAGTCTCGCCCGAACATATGGCACGCAGACTATCAATCAATGAGAGCCAATGCTTCGGGTTTCCATTGTAAGATCTCAGACGTCGATACTGCCCAGGTTAGAGGACGAAGCTACAAAAAAAGAAAAAGCTTCTTCGTTTATGTCAAAAGGTCATGCGGTTCGAACATATCAATTCCAGTATTGATGCGTGATGACGGCAGTCGATAGTTGCGTGGGAATAGAGCAAAGAGAGTTAGAATGTTGGTGGTGATTGTCAGGTGCATGAACAGCACGTAGTTAGTGTAATCCGAGAGGGGGGGCATAATAAGCGATACCCAAAGACAGTGACGATGTGGCCGTATTTATATATGCTCCACGGGATAAGGATTACCTAAGAAACCATAACTACAATGTACATAGGTATATGAAGATAGGAAGCTGAGCATATTAGAAGCAGGCTAATATTAAATGGATATCAAAGGAAGACTAAGTGTTGAAGGTAAGACGATCAGAAGATATCGATAATGGTTGCAGTCCCAGCTCAACTTGCACTCGAAAAAAGTAGTAGGAAGGTCACTGAATTATTGCGGTACCGGTATGTACAATTTCGGTGCGTACATTCGACGCGGGATGGAACCGTGTGGAAGTGGGGAAACCGTGAATTACCGACTCATGTGTGGAGGACCCATGGCCGACGGATGACGAAGGGGAACTTGTGTTACATGAGGCGTCGACACATGCGTACAACAGGCAGAGAGGGGTTTCAGATAGTTCGTTTGTTGGAACAGCATGGGAAGTGTCGGGTGAATGGGATTGATGATCAAATGACGTCGGTATATTTTGCACCCTCATGCATGGAAGGCTTGGTGCAACGATACTGTGAGGTGCTGTTGGCGGACGCAACGCACCAAATCAACTGCGGGAGGTACATCCTGTGGCACTGCATGTTGGTGGACGTAACTGGCTTTGCGATGTCTTTTTCTACGCTTTATTGCCGAATAAGACATCGGACGGGTACAAGGAGGCGGTGGAAGCGATGCTTGGAATGATTCCTGTCACATCCCGGGCACGGACAATAGTCATGGATATATGTGCTGCTCAAATGGGTGCGTTTCAACCTATGTCCAACCAGACGCATCTGGTATTTTGTCGACTTCATGCGGCGCGACAAGTGGCTAGACGTTGTTCAGACCTGCATGATGCATCACAAGAGGATAGAACACTTCTATGGCGGTTGTTACATAACTTGGTACATACCAGAGATGAGGAATATTGCGTTAAACTGATGCATGCTATAGAGATGCGGAATGCTATGAGTACTTCATGCGCACTGGGTTACCCTATTCATCTTCATGGGCGACGCATCAATTGCGAACGGAGTGCACATTTGATTGCTTCACAACAAACAGGGTGGAGAACTAGAACCGGCAGCTGCAGCGTGATGATCATTACGTAGTACGCGCTACGCACATCCTCGTTAAGGACACGTGGTTGCATCGGGCACAAGCAATGCTTCCCAGACAACCATGATCGATGACTTGTAGTCACTTCAGATCTTCAGACGGAAAGGGACGTCTGACCACCATAAAGCAAAACGACCGTCACTGCGGCCTTGTATACACGGCCTTTCAAACAAAGGAAAATTACTTCGGTTGGCAAGGCTACCGCGTGTTCAGGAAGACAGCTCTGGCCTTTGCAATACGTGTGTCCACATACGTTTCTATGTACCCATGGTTGCTGTTGCAGATGCCGATATAAGTGATTTCCTAATACGCCTCTAAGAACACAGCTATTGTCGGTCTGCGGTATGCGTGGCGCTGCTGCAGCACCTGACGCAGTGAATACACGGTCTATACAGACACGTCCTGGGCGCAAACCGGCCTGCTCTTCCCTAGTCAGACATTCCCGTTCCACAGTAAGGCGACGAACGAGAATGGAGGCTTGATTTTCTCACAACCGTCGGTACTCTAATATCTCTGGAGTAAGTCAACGCCGTGCGACTGCCCTTCTTGTATTTTGCTCTCGCCGCTTTATTCAATTTTATGTCCGATCTCAATTTCGACATCGGAGGATGAGTGCTTTTCGAACCTACTGGCCTATCAAGAAGAGCGACCAATGCCCGAAAATGAAGGTGATAACTACACTAGACTGCAGTGCTTCGCAAAGTGTTCTGCCCAACGGTCAAAGCCTTTTGACAATCTGATTCCACTGTCGTCTCTCGTCGCGCATAGTCTCGATAACACCAGGTCTCGTCCTACTACTTTCCTGGCTTTGCCGGTTGACTTTCTACTACTGTCCAGCCGGGTACTTTGTACGTGGCGTGAGACGAGGCTTGAGACCACGGAGACATTTCATGATTTTGAACGTCTCCGTTAAGTCACTTCCATCTGTCTTCTTATTGAAAACAAATTTAAGTAACCCAACCCGGCTTCACACGATAATCCACGCTGACGTATTACTCGACTGCCTAGTCTTTGCACATTCTCAATGCAAGTACTACCTTTCTGTAGGTATGGTGCCCATGCATGAACGCAGTTTTCCAGATGTGGTCTGACCAGACCTTTGAACAAGGGGGGAAAGACTCCCGGCTTGGTACAATGCAGAACTCTCCTGAGACGAAAAATCTTCGACGTTTGTTTTCCGCTGCTGTGCGAGCGACGTAAGCCCTGTGTCCTCCGCCATTCCAATAGCTGGCCAGGCTAGGTAAATTTGCGTGCTTTCTTCTACCTTTCCCTTCATAGACTGGAACGCAACCGACTGCCTGTTCTCCGCTTGTGCACCTCAACCGTTATCCTCCTGTTTGCCTGTGACAAAGATCCTCACTGGTAACTGACGCATAGCTGTCCGAAGCCGCCATAAACGTTCGGTAGGTGGATATTGCTCCTCTGTTTCTTTTCACTTCATAGATTCCGTTAGCTGCCCATACGTTCGCACCTCAGTTCCCCGCCTACCCCCCGTTCGTCGCATACACCAGGTGTATGCGTATGCATGCGTCGAATAACTTTGCAGTGCCTTATGTGTCCTTGCCTCAGTGACTGCAGTCCCATCTGCAACATGCGCCGACCGTGAAGAGCATAAAACTATCGTCCGGTAAGCTTGCATACATAAGTACATGTATATCGATATTCTCTAAGGCTGCACAGCATCATCATGTTCAGCTCCTCCATCCGCTTCCATGACATCAAACAAGGGAACGCTACGTTTGCCCTCCTTAGGGCTTACATCAAGGGAACGCGAAAATGGACCTCTTAAGGACCCACCATTTTATTGTACTGTCCACGCATTGCGGGTTGAGTGGGCCCATGGACACGCTCCCCACAATGATGCCGATATTAGAATTGGTGTGAATGTCAATCATCTCGTCCCCCATTTCCATGCGGAATACGTATTCATCTTTCCAGCTACCTTTCTTATAGCGAAACTATCACTTCACCTCATAGCTATTTCAGCCTCTCACAGGTAAGTTGGCAGGTTATGAAGCCCCGTGTACAACAGCCACCAGTTCTCCCCGCACTTGTTTCATAATTTACGGGGTACCATGTAACATCTAATCATTTAGCAAATCCGTTCACGCCTACACCTAACGAAATCGCCTGTACTGTATGCCTCAGT